GTCAAAAAAAAAAAAAAAATGCAAATTGCTTCGTCGACAAAATTAACAAAACGAAATTAGCTATCCGTCGTGGTAACGCGTCGAATCGAGTCGAAACGATCGAACCGTCTTATTCGATGATGCAGTACGTAGAATCTGGAATAAAAATCGAAACAATTACGCGAATACAAAAATTTTCCACTCACACATCGCGTGTATATATATATATATATATATTCTATACAAGGCATTCGAACCTGTAGTTTCTGAGACAATCCAGTCTATGTAAGCACCGACTCTGGTATTTACACCAGCGGTGTCGCCACAACCGATACCCATACTGATGATTCCCACCACGACGAAACGCTTGGTCGTAGGATTTTGCCAGAGAACCGGTCCCCCGCTATCCATCTGTTTAATTAATAAATAATTAGTTAATAAATAAATTAATTAAAGAATAGTTAATAAATAATAAATCGTCTCGAAAAACGTTATTTGTTACATATTTTTTTTTTTTTTTCTAAAAAATTTATCTCGCTTCACCTGACACGCGTCCTTGTCCTCCGCGTAGGTACATATCTGTTGAGGCGTTAAATCCGGATAAAATTTGGAACATTGAAGGTTCGTGAGCACGCTCACGGTAACTTTTTGCAAAATGTCAGACGGTGGCCCACCGAAACTCGTAGTACCCCAACCTGATCTCCACATCAACATACTTATATCACTTGAAATTTCAACGTTATTATCAACATCATACTTACCCAACAATTGAACGAACGAGCCGGCAAAAGTGTCGGGCGAGTGTTGGAAAGGTAGACAGGCAGGGCCAACCTGATTCCCAAATTCCATTTTCCTCCTCGTTTTCAAGAGGGCAACGTCGTTGAAATTGTCGTGGGCGTAATTCGGATGCACGATCATTTTGCTCACTTGATAGAGCATGGTCGCGTTTGTGTCCGAGTCTTGATATATATATATATACTAAATCGATCAATTGTGCATATTTCCAATTATCGCATCGATTTGATATTTATTTACCCGAATTTAAATCGTGATCGCCAACCAACACTCCTAACCGCGTATAATTCCTGTTCGTCATGCAATGCGCCGCTGTAAGCACGTATCTTACGGATATTATGGTGGAGCCGCAAAACACCGAGCGTTCGTCAGCATCCACTATCCCTGCCATCATGGGGAACTCGTTCACTCCCGTGTCGGTTCCGCCCACGATCCTCGACTTTGAAAGAAAAAAAAAAGAAAGAATGAAATCGTGTAATTCGAATATAATACACGAAGGGATACGTACGGGATTGTTCCATCCGCACTGGCAATCTATGGAGTCTTGCGGCCTCTTCACGGCCCGAATCTCGCAGAGGAAACGACCACCCTGCGACCATATAGGCGACGAAAACGTCACGACCATCGAGCTCGACGTGGATACGATGTTGAACCCCCCGTTACCGCAATAACGATGCGAGGCAGTGGAATTGATTTGCACGGTTAAACTGTCTTGAAAACAGTTGTAACTCTGAGGAAACGAGAGAGAGAGAGAGGGTTGTTAATTAAACCGGATGAAAAATTCTTTTTTCCTCTTACCCGTGGTAGCTCGAAGGTGGTACAAGTCAAATTCACTCGATAGTCGCTGGTGATGGTCCACACGCATGACTCTGATCCACGATAATAATACGGGTAGTTGGGGTTGTAGATGTAATACGTGGTACCGGGAATTAGATTTTGATTATAGTTGCACTGTCCCTTAATCAATTTGGCCGAAAGCATGATCGATCCGCAGAATATCAATAACGCCGCTGTAACTTGGGGAAAAGAAAAAATTTTCCTCGAAAATAATTGGAAGAAAATTATATATAAATCACAGTTTAAAATTCTCGAAGTGATCAAATTGTAATCTACGTTACATTTTGTATTTGTAACGAAATAATAAAAACGTTACATACGATAAGAATTAATTTGTGCGTATGTTTTGTTTGTTATAGTTGTGCGTATAGTTTTTTTTTTGGAATTGCTCGTTCTAAATTTGTTAAATACGAGACAGTGTATGTACCTTTTCTCATAATATGAAACGTTGTGATATTGTTTGCGAGAGCCATAATGCTTTGATCAACGATTTTGTTACGCTATTGGCAAGAACAAAAAAAATTTCGAAAGCACTATAACGACCATCTGCTTGCATTTGCCTACGTTTCGAGGTTTTTATCCATAGTCGTGAAGACGAAAAGCTATATAATTTCACCGGTATTATCATTATACAAGTCGTCTTATCAAATGTAGTTGCAACCTCGAGAATAAAAATGGATTTACGATAGCTGCCTAATAATATTTTTGCAATCGTTACGAAAAAAATTGCTACGAACGAAAATCTTCAACGTTGTTGATATTCGGCGCGCGCATTCCTGTCTTTTAATTAAGCGATAATAATCATTTCGAAGATTAAAACGATTACTCATATGTCAGATTAGATTCCATAATAAACATCTAAGATATCTAGAGATATCTTAAATTAAATTGAAAATTGTAGAAGATATGACATTGATCGATTAAAAAGTATTAATATCAATAACTCAATAAAATAATTATTATTTCTTGATATTTTTAAAATATTTCAAAAAATATTTTATTTCTTAATAACATACTAAATTTTTATAATTTACTAAATTACAATGAAAAATTTATCGTTGCAATTATTATTTATCTCTTGTAAGTATTCTTCGATCGATTATCTCGTGTACTTATAGATATTTGAAAATTGATATTAATAAATGTTATGATATTATTGTTAATAATATTAAAATAATTAAAATTTCTTGCTTTTTTTTTTTTATTTATGTGTATATATTTCTACGTCACACGCATATACATACACACATACGTATAAATAATTGATTATTATCAACTTTTCAATAACAATTTTATGCATTATTATAAATATATAATTTTCTAAAAAGTAAAAATGCATAAAAAAAGATATGAATATTTTACTGATGAATATTATTAATCATCCATTTTCCATTTTTCTATTTCAATTTTTTAAAAAAATTATATATGTACGATAATGCATAAATGTTATTGATAGCGATTAAAAAATTGATAATATTAATGTTATAAATTAAAACAACTATTTCACAAAAAACATTTTTCTTGTAATATTTTTTTTTTTAATCAAAATAGATATAAGTAAGATATAGGTAAAAAGATATAGGTGATTTTTCAAATAATGAAAAACGATATTATTATTATTGAAAAGAATCATTATTCAATTTTAACAAGTTAATTTATTTACATTAATTATATTATTATTACATTTGATACAAAGAACAAAAAATATATTTTCATTATATATACAGTTTTTATCAATAATATATATTATTATATAATAATTTATTAGAAAATATTGAAACAATTACTTTGAAATGAAAACGAAAAACATCAATTATAATCTACTTGATTTTTTCGAATTTTATACCTTTAGTAAATCGAATCGCTTTAGTAAATAAGTAGAAATATAAAAACAGATGGATTAGAATAGAACCGAAAATTGAATTAAACGCCATCTAGTATTAGTATATTAAATAAGTATCTAGTTACTATGACAATGAGTAGGATACAAATATGGAAATTAATAAAAATATGCAGTGGTATACAAATATATGTATGCATATTTTGTTTAAGTAAATTTATGGTATTATTACTGTGCGAAGTTGGTTAATTTATTCATTAATTTAAATATTTTAATTAGTTTCGAATGAATAATTTTATAAACTATATCTTAAACTACAAAAAAAGAAAAAGCAATGGCCAGTGTTAATACTAGTATTGAACAAGAAAGAAAAAAGGTAATTATTATTACATTTAATACAAATATATTATTATTATTTGTAAATAAAACGAGAGGTTATGTAAGTTCGAATGATCTTAACCTCACTTTTTTTTATACAATAGCATAGTCATAGAAGAGCAACAAGTGTTAAAAGCAATCAAGATACAACTTTTGTACCAGTATATTGTCGTAGACATATTTCAAAGACAAAACATACACTTAAAGCGCATAAGAATTTATCAGATTGCATAACTGATAATGATAATGATATGAAAAATCATGAGGATGAAGTACTTTCGAAAAGAAAAAGTAAAATATATGAACATGAAAGAAGTAAAAAATTAACTGAAGAGAATAATTCTCAGAAAACATCGTTTGACAAGGATGATGCAGATTCGGGTAATTTATATATGATATAAGATCATTTTTTTTTGAATAAATGATAATAAAAATTATATATTTTTCCAGGTATTAATTTATCAAGATTAAAAGATAAGTATGTTTCAAAGGAAACATTGAAAATAGTTAATGAATACCATAAATTGGAAAAATGTTACAAAAATATTCAAGAAGAATGTCAAAAATTAAATAATATTTTGGAGCAAAGGGAATTGGAATATAAGAAATTATGTTTACATTATGAGGCATTGATACAGATGGTTCAAGAATTAGAAGAAGCAAAAATTAATTTACTTAAACAAAATAAACAACTTGAAACAGAAAAGATTCAATCGAATGAGGATATTACGCTTTTAAAAACTATTGTATATCAATTAAATGCTGAATTAGAAAGATACCAAGACAAATTAGGAGACCGAAAACATGAAAATGTTTCTGCATCCAATAACGGTAACAATGAAAAGAAATATGATTCAAGAATTTGGGGAAATATCAATTTTCATGCATTAGGTCCACTTTTAAATGCTTATCAAGAAAATTTATTAGAAAAACAAGAACTTATATATATGTATGAACAGGAAATGGCTGATTTTAGTAGTAGATGTAAACAAATTCTTACAGAAAATGAAATTATGCATAAAGAAGTAGAAGAATTGAAATCAGAGGTAAATAATTATAAATAATATATTATATAAGATTATACATATGTAATGATGCGATATGTAATAAAAAATGTATTTAGTTATCATATAAGTAACTGTAATAAAAAAATATAGTGTGACAGGTATACAAAGGAAATACAAAAAATGGTTGAAAATACCGCGTTGCTAAAGAAACAGAATGATATTTTAAAAAAGGAAACTTTAAATATAAAAAGAGAAACTAATGATATTCGTTCGTCATATGAATCAAAAATAGAAGTGATTTTAAAATGCAATGAAGCTCTAAAAAAAGAGCATTCAATAACAATATCAGAATTGAGCAATTTACGAGGGAAATATGAAATTTTAAGTAAAGAATTTGAAGAAATGAGGAATAAAGAACAACAAACAGTGCCTACTACTGTTCATGTTACTGCTATTGAAGAATGTAAAATATTATTGGATGAATTAAAATATCAATATGAAAATGAAAAACGTGATCTTTGTAATCATATAAAACATATAGAGGAAATTCAACCTGAAAATGAAAAAAAACTTATAATGGTTATAGCCGAAAGAAATCATTTGAAAGGACTTGTTAACAATCTTGAAACAACTTTAAAGTAAGTTATTCGTTTATATTTTTTATTCACTTACATCTCTTATTTACATCTCTTTTTAATATATAATGACAATATATATTTTAGACGAACTCAACGTAAAAGTGAACAAATGCAAACTCTTGTTTATTCGACTCGTGTTTCACGTAATTCTTTGAAAGAGAAATTAAGTAAAGTAACTGCTTATTGTGAAGAATTATTTTCGGAATATGAAAGAATTGTTTCAGAAAGAGAAAAATTACTATCTTTTTTACGTGAAACGGAAAAAGAAAATGCAAATATGGATCGTCTTGGTAAAAGTATTACTAGTCGAGTGGAAGGCTTAAAAAATCAATTAGAAGTACGTATAAAATTTATATTATTGATAAAAAAAAAAAAAATTAAATAACTTATAATAATTTTCAGATTGTTCGAAAAGGTACGAAACAACAGGTAGATTCTGTAGAAAAACGTATAAAATTACAAGAACTTCATGTACGTCGAATGAAACACGATTATCAACGTAAAATACAATATTTAAACGATGTAATTAAACAACAGGAAGATATTATTGGCAAATTACAAAAAGAAAAACATTCTAGTCAAGATACGTTAACAAGACGAGTACTTCAGGCAACAAATGAGCCAAACAATTATAGTACTGGACCAAAAAATTCGTGAATTAAGTTCGTAAAATATTTCCATATTATTAAACTCATATTAAGATCATCCATAATAGATTGGACTTTGAAATTGATTTTTAACCAATCTCGTAATAAGCATCTAATTATGGAATAGGTGCTACTCGAAACACCGTCCTCGTATTTACCGACCGTGTCAGTCGCTTTATTTAGCGGTGACATCAAATGAAGCAAATGGCTACGAAGGCTACCGTGTGGACGCCACTGTATGAACGACTGATGGCAGTGGAGACTAATAATCATATAGTGAAAAGTTGATGTCATCCGTTATAGGTATGATGTCAGACGCGTTCCATTCATTCATATGTAAAATATACCTGTTCTAGCTTTAACCTTTTTTTTTTTTTTTTATAGAATTTAATAATAAATTGAAAAACATCGATAATATATTGATGTATATTGGTATTATAACAATCACCAATACGATATTCAAAAAATTATTTCTTCAAGTATAAGATGACTGTTAAAGATATATTTTGAAATTCATATTCCTTTTATATTTTCCATTTATCCTCTTTATTGCCTAATATTTATAAAAAATAAAGTTACTTTCCAATTTTCACAAATATGTATTTCAAAAGAAAAATTATATATCCGAAAAATAAAAAAAAAGATAAAAAAGAAACCAGGATAGGAAATAGATAAAGCTAATTTATATTCATATGATGAAAAAATTATATTTAACTAATTCATGAGAAATAGAATTGATTACTAAGCCATCGAGTAGTTTCGTAAATCGCGTCAGCTGCCGATTATTCAGTAGTTCGCTAAAGTTCGGAAAGCTTCGGATACGTTCGTTAAAAAGCAAAATGTCGTCTGCTAGGTGCGTCGTCAGAAACCGGGTCGTATTTCTGACGTGAAAATTGCTATGATAAGTGATAATGCAATGTCTCTATATACAAGTACGTAGTGTTTTTTGTTGGAAAGTGTATCAAAAGTCACAAAAGGATATTCTTCGCATTGGGCTGTCTCGTTGCCAACAAAGAAACTCTAGGAGAATACCGGTGAACATTGATTTTTCCTGTTTTCGCATCTTACTCGACAGATGATCAAACGGTAATGCATATCGTACGATTTGTCGATATTTCGTCGATTTGTTAATATTATAAAGATTTTAATGAATTCGTATTTTTAATAATACAAATAAATTTGAATAAGATAATACATCATCTTATTCACATTGTATCGTGTCAAATTAGCATTTGTTTTAAGATTCGAACCGATATGTTCGAATGAATCATAGTTACTACATTTTATTATTTTCGGTAAAATGGTTATCTTTATTACTTTGCACTAATGTTTTTCGCAGATGTCGCTAATTTGCAATATCACATTCTTCGTATATCTTTCGCATTTGAGAAATATCAAAATTTTACGATAACGTTATACGAGTATCGTGTATATTCTAGTGATGCGCAAACTCAAAGAGTTCAGTGTCATTTTGCTGAAATAACTAACTGTATTCTCGCTACGTTTCCTGAATTGTTAGGTTAGGTTTAACCCGAGAATAACTAGATTCACCTTCCTTTCATTCAACAAGAATGTTTTGAGACAAGAATGTTTCTAATATCTATTTATCCAATAAAAATATGTATAAAAATATTTTTTTATTATTTTAAATCAAAAAATTCATATACGGAAGAAATGAGAAAGAAAGAGAATAAAATTATTTCTCATAATTATGTATACGTAAACTGAAGTTTTTAGTTGTACATATTGAAAAAATTATCTTTAATTTTTTTCATTTAAAACAAAATCATGAAAATTTGAAAAAATATTTTCTGTTTAAACATACCAAAAAATAAAAAAATATTAGAATGAACATTTCGAATGAAGAATAATTATTTAATTTTATCAATAAGAAATAACAGACAATGCGTAGATATTTTTTTAATTTTCGCAGAGATATATACAAGGAAATAAAACGATTTATATATCGAAAAATATACATTTCAATTTTTTAACGTTGCCTGAGAATTAGTTCGACTTGAATGTTGCCACATCCGCTTCCGGTTCTTTGTCAAATCAGATCTCTCTTGATTTATTTTTTGCATTGTGATATATGCATTTAAAACATACTTAAATTAAGGATAATATTGTTACTATTATTATTAAAATCAACATTTGATTACTAAATGAAATTTAATTATATTCTGAACATACTTAGAAAGCGCTATATAATAAGAAATATTACTTTCTCCACAATAATTCGATTTAATATTTATACGATTAAAATATTTATGTGTATTTCCATTTTCTTCGAATTCATTTATATTTTTCAGTATTTTAATTATTTCAATTATTTCAAAAATCAATTATTTTTGTACGATTTATAATTATTTTATTTTTTAGGAAAGAAAAAAGAAAAAATTAAGAATATATTGTTTATATTTATAGAATGTTGCAAATGGAAGATAGTATCGAGGATAATGAGGGTGGAATTAAACTTAAGAAATTTTGACAAATAAAATACTGAAAAATCTTCGATTCATGGCACAAAATATACAAACAACAACGGGAATTGAAGACTGCAATTGAAAGAGGTCGAATCTGATTTGTCCATTTTCAACCAAATCTAACTTGACCTAAGCGCCGCTGACGACAAAGATACGAAGTATTGCTGATTATCGGCGTGCTGGAAGCACGTTACGTTGCTGGCTAAGCAACTATTGTACGTATTGGCGTGTATCGTCAAAAGGACGCCAGACATCGCGTACGCTTTCCCTGTTCGTCGTCTCCTTGCCACCTCTCTTCCTTCCGTTACGCCGGTGCAGTTCGTGCACTTCTACGCCGTGGTACGTTACTCTACCCTACAGCAGAGTCGTGTACAATAAATAAACGCGCGGCATGTATACGGGTTCCACGTGCTTTTCGTTCGGCTAAAACTATTTTCGACTATAAAACTATTGATTTCGAAGTAGAAAAAAGAAGAGAAAAAAAATATCATTAGTGAAATCTAAATCAGGGAAGAAGAAACCGGTAACGAGGATGTCGTGTCTAATATTGTGTGCAAAGTTGCCAAATGCCTGCTGTCGATAACACGGCGACTTAGTTCGGTGCACTATTCGCCACTGCCTTGCGAACTCTATTGAACGAAAACGACGTAATACTTAGAAGCTCTTTGTGTGTCGCGGTTGTGAAATTGCCAAGTGGTTGTGAAACAGTGCCGAGCAAAAGAGGAGTTGCACGAATATGGTGTAAAAAAAAAAAAAGAAGTTTCAATCAACAGTTTTAGAGAATGGAGTTCGAGCTGGACGGAAGCTTGAAGGAATGGGTAAAGGATAAACCGTTGAGTATCCTGCAGCTCGATCCTGCTGACAGAGCCGTCTTACGGATTGCTGGTAAGTGTCAATCGTTCTTTCTAGTTTCCATTTTCATAAACTGGTTACGTATTTAATTTTCTACCGTTATACCTTTCGCTTTTCGTTTTCATTTAAAGCGCGATTCACAAATGTTATTAGAAGTTTTCTGCTTTACCAAAGAAAATAAAATCTAAATAAATTCCGCTATACGTTTTTATATACAATGTAAGCACCGTATATACACGAATAAAATGTTCGATCAATTATAAAATGAGCATTATACATACGAATGTGTTGTATGTGTTGAAATAATTACGTTAAATGGCGATGATGTTTGTCGTGTCTCTTATGAGACCAGATCGTAATCGACAACATACGTAATCGACAAGAATATTACCATGTAATGAATTTTAAATTAATAATAACGACGATTAATCTCGTTTCTCAAGGTGGACAGATATTAATCAATGATACTTACGACTCGCCGCGACGTGAATTTGAATCAATAATAATGTTTGTAATTGATAAAATTTATTTGACCCTTCATATCCCCTGGTGATTCTCTTTCAAATACCTCTTATCGATTAGCGCATAAGGGTTTCGTGAGAACTGGAAAGTATGGTAAGTCGGTATATGAGTATATCGTCTGCTATTCTCCAGCTAGTTCGAGAAAACTGATACACGCAGTACCTTCGAAAGTACGATACGAATATAACGAGTCATAAATTAGCCATGTTATAAATTCTTGCAATGTAGGAAATGAGAATCGTTTGCGAGTATAATCTTGAATCGACCTTCGACGCGGGGTATTGACCAGGAATAGATACTCGAAACCATTCGATAAATATCGAATTGCAGTTTGCCGATCATTTTACCGTGAGAATTTTTTTTTATCGCTCACCTCCGTCGCGAATCGTTTTTCGCGCGTCGCTTTAATCATCGGACGAATTCCAATCGTACTCGATTTAAACAAACCTCTTCCGCGATAATTCGTTTCTCTATCTTTTTTTTTTTTTTTTTTTTTTTTTTTCTCTTCTCCTTTACGCGCATACGATAAACGATATATGCATACGAACGTATGCATGTAGGACACATCCGATTCGTGAAATTACAGGCTCTGATTCACGCCCACAAAAGCAACGAGCTGGGTTCCGCACCATTTTCATGTGGCGTCGTTAAAATGATGTTCGATCGACATAACGTGTGTAACTCTCGTACCATAGATATATAACAACCGATATCGAAGTATCGCATCTCAGGCACGCGAACATAATTGTTTCTAATTATAACGACCTATTGGTGCGCTATCATGAATGCTCTAGTAACCGTTGTACTATCGAGTACCGCCAATTCTCTCAATTGCCTCTTACGAGACTCGCCGTTTCTTCTTTCATCTCGTTAATTTACGAGTTTCCAAGAACACGAACGAATCCCGATCTCCGTTGATGGGACGACTTTTAACCACATTGAACGGGCGGGGAACGATGAATGAAGTCACTTGTGTCGCGATCAAAGAAGAACAGACGCAACGACTCAACCACGTCGTCGCGTCGATGAACTCACGAGCGTGGTGCATTTCAGCGGTCACGGTCCATGGGATCTTCGTTCGAGAGGTTATATACCAGTTTACTATGCCTACGCTGCGGCGAGTGAGCGAGGGAGCGGAGGCGGCAGGTTAGGTCGGTTCGCATTAATCTAGGAGCGTGGAGGCGGCAACAGGTGCTCGGGTCACGGTTCGATGCCCCAGCCTCGAGAACGTCTTCTTTTTTCTCTTCCTACTTTTATTATTACTCTTTCGCTCTTTTTTTTTCCCTTCCTTCTCGTTACTTCCTTCCAAAGCTGTTTTAAATAATCGTTACGTTTCGTGTCATTTGCCAGCCACTTCTTTTCTAATAAATTCGACGCACTTGTTCTTCCGTGATATTATTATTTTTTTTTTTTTTTGAAAATATTCGTACGGTAGAGACGAGCGATAAGTTTCGAAAAGGGGAAAACAGTTTGGACAGGTTCTTGCACCTGTTTGTCGTATATGTACGGCTTGTTACGATGCCTGGTTTTCTTTGCCTACGGACGGAGGCTTCACGAGTCGCTCGCTAGATGTCCTGGGGTACCTGAAGTACCTGAAGAGGCCAGTGTATCCGTGATTCATCTCGCACTTTTGTTTGTTGAGGGCCTTTTAGGGTGCAGGTAAAAAGGATCGAGTAAGGCTCGAGTATCTCTTTCAAGTCGCAAGGATAGACAAAGACCTTAATTAATTTCGTGAAACTAATTCTCAATTGAGAAAATTCCCTTAGTTTTCTTTTCTTTTTTTTTTTTTTTTTTTTTTTTTTTTTGTTTTGGCTCACCTGTTTTGGAAAATTCTTTTGTTGTCGCGCACTTCCTTATTCGTCGTCGAGGATAGTCATCGTTCCGGGTCGTCGTGGGAAACGTTAAACGGACCATCTCTCGAACGGATGGAAGCGGGTTCAATCGACCGATTCGAAGTGTGCGATCAAACTAAATTTCTTTTAGAGATCCACGTTTTAATATATATTTCGTGGAGTATAATCTTCGCTTCGATCGCAGTACAGTTAGGAATCCGTATGTACATGCCAAGGGGGCAAGAAGAATAAAAAAAAAAAAAATAAATAAAAATAAAAGAGATAAAAAGTTACCCGGTGGGATTTAGGTCATAAGTCGGAAGAACCGCTGCTTCAAACTCATCGAATATGTAGTAGACATTACGATATAACGTTAGAAGAGTGGAAATTATTTTTCTTCGGGATTGATTAACTTGCGCTTCAACGGTTCGTCAAACGATTTTACCGTAATAAAACTATGAAAATTTTGGATGAGTGGAAAAAGGACGAGATTATAAGCTGTTAAGTTAAGAAGCTTATGCCCCTTTTGAAATTCTTAGACTCTTGGCTCATATACCTGTTTATGTTTTTGATGAAACTGACCATCTTGCCAGAATTGCATTCTTTCCAACTTGGTCGCAGTCCCGGATGATTCAGAAACCGTTTAAATTCATGTACGATTGTTTGAAATTGTTTGAAATGTCGGATAACGGGATAACGGGATACGCACAATTTTTAAAATTTATAAAATGGAATTACGAATGCTTAAAATTGATACGTCATGTAAAAATGTCATGTCAAATCAGATAAAGTAAAACTTGCGCCAATCGAGATAATTTTTTAATCATTCTGCTAGATTATTTATCAATCGAGCTTTTAATTGAAACAATAACTAATATTTAATTCTCATCGATCGAATCAAATGTTAAAAAATATAAATCGAATATAACGTATTAAGTATTATCCATCTCGATAAGATAAATATTTCTGCATTCATGGCCAACGAACGAGATTAGCGATCTGGAAGAAAGTAGCGTATTCAGTGTTCACATCTGTTAACGGAGGTGCCGCGTGCGCCGTTTAGTTTTACCGCGAACATAAACAAGAGGTAGAATATCGGCGACGTTAGGAATGATCAACGAATAAAAAATTAGCTACCATTTGGCTTGGCGCCAGATCGCAAGAATTCTCACGCTTAGCGAAGAAGCGTGCTTTCCGTGGGACTAGCCTCCGTTTCGCGATTTTCCATTTGGCCGAGGCGATCGAAGAATTTTGCCCACGAAACGGTAAATGGTTGAGAAAGGCTGGATTGAATATATATCAGAGCATGTTATTCACGCGTGAAACGAACAATCCGCGTCCCATTTGGCACACATTGTTGGTTAAATTAATTCGCGATTCGCGGTATTTTCTCGACGCGCCCCTGTCGTTACGTGACCTGCCCTACGAACCTGTTTGTAACGGCAGCTATTCTACCGCCCGAGCGTAAGGCGTTGTCAAAAAAGACAGAGACCTTGCGCCCGATCTCTGTCTAGCGAAGAATGGTCCCTTGGCCCCGTCTTTGTTCCTCTTTCGTTCGGTTTCACCCCGACTCTTCGGCCGTGTCGATTTCTCTGTCCAACGAACGGAGAAAGTGAAGGATGAACGAGCCGCAATGGCGGGGCATGCGAGGAGTAGGTTCTGGAACCTCGAGGCTCGAGGTAGAGAGGCAGCTTGGGTGGGCGGCAGTTGTCCAGACCGCCGCAGTCTGTGTCGAGGCGACGTGCTCTACAC